AATCATACGATCAGCCCAGCAGAATTTATTGAGCTTGTCCTTTAGTCTCATGGTGATAAAGGTAAATAGGTGTCAGCTTAATGTCAGTCTTATTTGCAGAGAGACAGATAAACATTAGGAAGGAAAGGCTATGCATTGTTCTTGAAAGTGAAGGGTTACATGTTAAGAGGACTATTTGTCTTTGCGTCTCAATGACTTCATTTGTGAGAAAGAAGGATACATCAAACAAGAGTATCACATCATTCTGCTAAAGGGTCGATCATGGTAAACAAACAGAGATGAAGAACCATGCAATTTTTATTTAAGTATATACACAAAGATGAACTGTAAATGCACCAATACAGGCATGTGATAAGCTATGCTCTCGTTTTAATAAACGGTGGTTTCTTCCTTTCTAGATCCAAGGCCCAAGATGTAAGCAATCCATTTTTATTTTTCTAGGCAAACTTGCTTCAAGAAAAAACAAAATGATTCAGTGTAACCAAATCTCTCACCTTCCTATATCTTAATTCTACAATATTCTCATAAAATCTTTCTCTGATTCAACATTTGATTAATAAAACCTTAAATAACAAACATGCACACAAATATATTATTTTTCATACATTACAAAATGAAGCATATTTATATAATAAACTTAAAAACCGGTGTGCAGAAGCAAATGAATCATTTAATTTGATATGCTTTGGAAAATCATTTGCCCATTTAACACAAACCAACCAAACTGAACAGTGTGTCTTTGAGCTGCCAGAGGAAAGCCACAGAAACACAGTGAAATGACAACTTAGATCCGAATTTGTGAAGATGTGAAACTACAATGTTCCCTACCGTGCTGCGAATTTCAAAGGCAAGCACTTTATTTTCCACATGAAGCCTCTTTCCGCATTTTCCAACAAATTCAACAAGTCACAATAAACAAATCATTCTAGTAAATGAATGCCATAATTAGAGAGACAGAAATGCTTTCATTTTGACAAGGACGCCTCTTGAAGTCCCATGATCCTTCTGAGAAGCATTTTGCAGCTTCGATGTCTCTTTGAATCCAAAATTTATCACCAAAGGCAGCCACTCCACAAAGTGCTTTCTGCAGAAGCAATGTGACTTGAATGAACCCTCTGTTTTCATCTTATGTTTCACCTGAACATCAGATGATATGTAACTCATAAATGTGTGTATATAACTATAGATGATACCCAGAAACAGAAGGATTCAGGAGCACATATGTTATATGGCAGTATGTCAATACGGATTTCCATTTTCACAGGCATAATCAATTGTATGGGATAGAATAACAGGTAGGGAAGAAATGCAGAATTCATTCTCTTGTCAGACAAGTAAATAAATATAAAATAAAATAAACTAAGATGGCATTACTTAACTCTTTCTCTTTATTGTCTAAAACCCAAATGTTTACAAGTACATTTATGGATATTGCATTCCCAGGCATTCAGTAAGGTTCACTGTTCTCTTAATCCTGAAAAAAAACCACCTAGACCATAATTCCTGAATCTTCACTCAATAGCACCCATTACGCTTTCTGGTGTGTTTCAAAACAAACAAGTCTTACATTTGCATGTTCTTTTCACCATAGAAACTAATGGATGCATAGCACCAATGACAAAATTGACACAATAGATTGAAACTCAATGACAGGTCTGTCATATGATTCAGTGCTCTGAATTCTGCTGATGAATTGCAAATATGGCAGTAGTCTGAATGCACTCAACCAACCTACATAATTCATTACTGACAGATCACGAAATGGACTATCGACTGTGGTGCAATGTCTTAGTCCCATGGCAGATATATTTAGCTGCTTTCTTGACTACTTCAGATGTCTTCCATGGATCTCTGTGCATTGGGAAGCCAGGAACGTATGCGCTTTGTAGATATCAGAATAAATATGAGTTCTAGAACCTTCCCCTAGGCCTTCTACATCTGAAATGGATCTTCTTCTAGGTGGTCTGATACTGACAGGGACTTCTGTCACATCACATCTGCACTGCTGTCATGCAGGTGGCGATAATGGAAGACGTGTCACTCAAGAACCTAGTTAGTTGAAGTGAGTAGCAACTGCTTAGCAACTTACTGTGCAGTTCATACATTTTACACATGGCATGGCTAGACTGAATACAGAGAAAGAGGAAAACCAATACACAGTTCCACTAGGAGTTTCACCATGACAAACAGGATGACATAAAATATGGAGCATATATTGCTTTTTTTCCCCAAGACTGAATGGCGACAAACAGGACTTAATCAATAAGGTATTGATAATAATATTTATGTACCCTGGTGTAACTAAGGTAGCTGAAGAAAAAAATGTGCTGAAGACATTCAGATGAAAAACATGTGAACCAGAAGTCTCATTTTATGTAAACATTAAATTATGAGACACGTTTTCATGTTTTCAGCAGTGTAAATTTGATATAAGCCAAAAATCAGTATTCATTTGTCGGTTTGTGTGTATTTTTGTGTATGTGCGATCAAATCAAATGAAGATGCCTATTTGTATCTTAAAAATCTCATGCTGTGCACCAGGGGTGTAGTTAGAGATGAATGGTTGGGGGGCTGATGGCAAACATATATACATATAATATAAAAAGCTATTCATGACTTAAGGCAATAAATACACATTTATTTGCGATTGGCTAAAAACATTTCAGGGAGGCCAAATCCCCCCTAAAATAGGCCTAACGACACCCCTGGTGTGCACTCAGTCTGGAAAAAAAACAACAGCTAGAGAAACATGCATAGTACGGAATGGCTGAGGGATAGGGGATAGGCTTGTGAAATAGACCCATTATAAAAAAGCATTTACGTGAAAAAATGAGCTATTACTGGGCCTAATTCATGAGGTATTGATCCATGTGCCCTGCCCCATGAACCATCCATAACCACTGTGATAATCCACAAATGCACCATTCACACTGTATAACAGTAGCGGATAGATCAGCAAAGGAAAATGTTGTATCCATCCTCCAGAGTCACACACTGTTATCAGGACCGGATGGTGAAATGATGCTGTACGGCCCAGTCTTATGCTTCCACTGCAGCTCTGTGTAGCTGCCAAAGAGTTCGCTGTTTCATCGTCCAATGACGTCACATCGTTTTCCGTACAAGTGTGCAATTACCAGAAACGGGTGATTCAGATCCTATCAGGATGGTTGGTGTTTTTAATTCTGTGCATATTTTTATCTGGAATTGATGTCATACTTTTTTGTAGAACAAAAACAGCATCTTAGCATCAAACAGCATCATAGAGTCCAGGGTAAATATATCGTAGCGGTGCTTCTGTTCTGCATTATAGATTTTTCTTGTCACACGTCAGGTGTTATAATCCAACATGAAGAGGCGACAATGAAGGTTTTAGCAATTCACTGTTTTGCAGACAAAATTGCATGTTCTTTGGAAACAAAATAGAATGAGAGAAATTCTATCTTTTATGTGGATCATTTCCGGATGGATTTTTATTTCTGTAAACAACTATCTACAAATGATGTTTCACACTGAAAAGACACCTTTGTCTTCTGTGAGAAGCTGGAGCCGTCAGCAGATGAATGCCTTTCCAACAATGTTCCCATTATATCAGCAAGCCCATGTGACAAAGGTTGCATTCTATATTATACTATTAAACTTTTCAATTTCTGACTCTAATTAGGTGATTCACCTCTAAGACAAAAGGCCGTGTTTCACTGTATCATTACAGCCACATAAACCAAATTCTGAAACAACATTTGAGCCATTAAATACTGGGATTTTAATCACATCTTGTTTGTGTTGATCACATATGAAATGTAAACATCTACTGATTTACTGGGACTCTGATAAAGATCTATCCTAACAAACAATCACACTGGGTAATCACAGTTTCATACATAATTTAATATTTAAAGTATTTCAGTCTGCGGTAGTCTGCAGTTCCAGTAACACATTCAGTAGATGCCATTACTCTATAAACTGCCATAAACTAATTGAATATCTGTATATTTATTGATAACACCTTCATTTCCGAGCGTCCCTACTCTGAAATAAAAGATAGTAAATAACAGAAGATAATAAAAAATGTAATGCTTCCACCTAGTGGTCACTGATTGTGGCACACACAGAATACCATTCATTTCCCAAGTTAATCATTGCCCTCACATCTGCGACATGTAAGTCCAGGGTCGGTGTCATGGGGCATTCGCGAGGCATTCTTGGGGGATGCCCCCCCATATTGAGGTATTGTGCCCCCCAACGCCACCCACCAAGGACACCGTCTTCTACTTAATTTAATGTTTAACAATAATAAATAAATTATAAAGACATAAAAACATAAGCCTGGTCTATACTAAGGGCGTGGCTACGGATCGTCTACTAACCCCCCCGCCGCGTGCTCTGAGGTCAAGTAAACTCGATATACGGATGGATGGATTCAAGTAAACGTTTCCTATTAATGGACTAAGACATCTCCATAGCTACTTAGTGTATTATAATATTTTTAATTATATAACTATATATCTATAAAAACTTTGAGTACGAGAGCAAAATATCTTTTTTTTTATCTTGTCTGTGTCATCTAGAAATTTCACATTTCTCTAGGAATTAAACATATGATATATTCGCTTACAAATTAAAACATTTCATAAAGATTAAAACAACTAAGCTACAAGTTGTTCAGCTTTGATTCCACGAGATGGCAGTGTATTTGTCTTGATTTGGTATGTATCCAGTGCTAATCATTAATGCTTTCTACCTTCAGTTTACGCTTGTAATGATTAAATATTTATTTTACATTAAGAGAATAAAAATTGAATTAAATGGGTTCGCAATATTTGTTTTTGCCTAAATTTATTAATCAGACCTACCGCATAAATATTACAGGATATTTTTTGTAATGTAAATTCCTTACTACGTCACTGTATTATATATAACCATTGCCTTAAAGTTATGCACCCAAAAACGTCCTTAAAACTTTGATTTAATTTGTGTTAGAATCAGGTATATTTACATATGTTTTAATATATACTATATATGTAAGATTAAAATGGTGACTTAGCAATGCTAATTGATAGCTACGTATTAGTATTTGTAAAACACGGCAAACGCGAGTTGATCTTTATATTAAATAACGGTGATAAATGTAAATTTCATGTTTATATGGGGTAGATGATGTTTTCTTCATACGCGCATGACAAAAATGGCGTTTGCCTCCAGATTTAATCTTAAGGCTACTGCGTGATGACCGCCAGGTGGCAGCCGTGAGATGGATTCTGCGTCACGCCTTTCTATTTATTTATTTATCCGACTATGCTTGGAGGTGTTCGTGTTTTTAATACTAAATTGTGCTCTTTACATCGTTGTACGTCGCGCACACAGGGGATCGTGCTGGTGCATCACTCTGCAGCCATGGCGTACCCATGAGGAGGACGGGGTGCAACTGGGCTCTTCCAGCGCCGTTTTACTTCTGCAGTTATGTCGCGGTTTGTCTGCTATCCTTCGCCATGTCTCTGCTCCCCGCTTACCTGCTACTGTCAGCGCTGTTGATTTTCTCTGAGGATGGGCTGATGAAGAAGGTAGAGGGCGGCCGGATCGCCGCTCTCCGGGCCGAGTCCGGCATCATCGGGCGGGGGGGCTCCGCCGCCCAACGACTGCTGAAGCCGCCCCAGCATAACGTTCAGAGGGCGCCGCCGGCTGCGTCAGGTACACTGCTGTTGGATTAGGTGCCTTTTCACAATTGCATTTTGGAGGCGGGGGTAATAATAATAATAATAATAATAATAATAATAATAATAATAATAGATAATTATACCTAACATCATAAATTATTAATATTTACATTCCACGGCGACCGCAATCGCAGAAAATAGAAAAGATCATAATTACTACAATGGAAAAAAATATTAAAGATTATTTTTTCAATTATCAATTAATATAGATAAAGGAATATGGATAGTAGTCTTGTGTCTGCTGCGGATTTAATTAGGCTAACTGTGTCGTCGATCAATGCAACATAGTATTGCTACGATAATTTCAGTTTCCACATGGTATTATATAGTGTCATGTTGAATATAAAGAAAGATCAGTTTTGTGTTTTATATTGTGATGTCAACACTGGCAGTTGTCCCGGTGTATGTGATTCAGTATATTTGATGCATCCCCTCCATCCTGTTTAAAACTGACCTGACATCCTCATAGCTCTTCATTAAACATCGTTGTATCTGTAAACAAGAATAACATCGGTCTGTGTCATGTACAGCTAACTACCAGCTGTTTATCACTGTGTGAAACTTCATGGGACATTTTGGATGACCCTATGAATTTTCTGTATATACAGTATTTATCCCAAAACCACTTTGCATAGGCCGTGCATTTGAGCATCATTTTAGTGATGTCAAATTTTATACATTTACTTATATTTTCATGTAGTTCAGATTTTATCTGGGCAAATGTTAAAAAGTAAATACTAGTAGTAATAAAATTTAATTAATTTGAAAGTGACATTACCTAAACATTGTGGTTGGAATTAATTATATTACTACATATGTAGTGAAAATGCTTTTATGTTCTCTAGCTTTGTTTTATGTTGCATGTTATACTTTTTCTGACAAAATTAAAAAAAATATATATTCAGGGTCTTGGTGTATTTGTCTGGGTTAGTGTTTTATACTTTGACAAATTAGACTGATGTTTGGGTGACTTTCATTGATAATGTGTAGCTCCCAATCAGCACAAATGATACTCTTTCATGCCCTGTAAAGGTAATTCTGTTTCAGTCATTGTGCAATTTAGCACCTATCAAGGCCAGAGTGCTTTCCAACTCGCAAGTAGTTACACCTATATATGGGCAAGTTAGTCTAAAAACGGTCAGGTGCAGCTGCATTCAGGCTGGAGTACATTGTGACCTCATCGGATGCTTGTGACTGCAAATAAGTCATTTGACTAAAAAAATCTAACATCAAGTAGCTCTAGGGCAAAGAAACACTGTGTTCACTAAAATAAGCTGCTCTGAAAAGTGTGTGGAAAGATGCTTAAAAATTGTGATCCTGTGTATAAAAATAAAAGTAGAAAATACTAACCTCCAAGTTTTTCATCTCTAACTGCTTCTGACCCAGATTATCTGTAGTGTGTCAGATATAGAGTCTGTATGTTTGTAGTCCCAGAATTCATAGTGTTCTAGTGCTTGTTGGTGGTTTGAGAAATTTCATGTAACATTTTGGGTCCGTGACTCACGGGAGTCGATGTGTTTGAGAAATTCACAGAGCTGGAATGTGGTCTACTGTGGAGAAGATGTTGACGTGTTCATGTCGTCGCTAAACAAAAGGACGTTCCTCTTAATTGATTATTTCAGAGTGTTTCCTGCCTTGCAGAAATGGGTCATTTTACTCCCACAGTGATGATGCGATAGAATTTATTTATACGTTTATGCAGCATAAATGATGATAACACTACACCAGTGCTATCTTTGGAGATTTATTTAAAGTAAAAAGATTATTTTACACAACACGAACACTTCTGCATTAAGCTTTCTGTATTGTCCCCAATGTTATTAAGTTGTCACTAACAAAGGGAGCACGAGAGAATTTCCTTTCTACATTAGAGTGGGACCTTGGGCATTACTCGTCCGTGGCATTCGATAAGGCCATTTCAAGTGCTCACTTTTGTAGTGACATAATCCCACAAATGACTAAAAGATGTTGATTATTGATCATCTGTTACACATTTCCACGGTTTCTTCCTAACCAGATTGCTCCATCTCATTTTGCTCGTGTTTGCCTAGGAAGCTATCTTGTTACAGTTATACTCAAAGTGATGTCATAAATTGTATGAATTACTATTTTGGTTGTGCAACAACACTATAAATACCTGTGAGAAATAAAAACTGTTGTTTTGTATTAGCATAATATAGCCTGTGGTCCCAATGGTTTTAATAAATGGCGTTGTTACTGTTGCTATGGGAAACTACATAGACATTTTTTGGCTTAAATTAGTCACCGACAGCAGCTTGCTGACACTTGTCAAGCTGACCTCCACCTGTGCCAATCTTTCAAACCACCTGTTCACTAGAGAAATTTGGGCATCTATTCCACAGTACAGTATGCAGTAGTCTAAAAAGTCACTTTATACTTTGTATACTTTGTCTGCTGATTTGAATAGTTGTCTTATTAGGTTCTTGCTTCGGTAGGTGTTGTGTAGCTCTTGCTCCAGTACTGCTTGCAGTTATGTTTGGATGTTCGTTCGAAGCTCAGCCGAGCTACACTTATGTGTAGTTGACCCCAGGAGCGATTGTAGGATTTTACCCTTGGGGGGGGGGGGGATCCCTAAACAGCGTCTAGAACCACCAATAGTCAACTCCTCAGCTCTATGTCTGTAATGTGTTATTTGCTTGTATGTCGCTTTAGACAAAAGTCCTAAAATCTCCTAAATAAAATACATGTATGGTACTATTCTATGAGAGCAAGTCAATAGCAGCAAACAAAAAGGGCCTGTTTTGGTTGAGTAACAGCCATCTGACACCGCTAGTTATACCCATATTTTCAATGAGTAGTCAATTCTGATTAAGTGCTTTTAAGGCTTGGTGAATTCAGTGCTGTTGTAGGTCTCTATTGAGTCGGTTAAATATGCAGGGGGAGGTTTTGAATATTTTATTCTAAAGGGGAGAGAAGTACATAACATATACCTACATAAAAAAATAATTACGATCATAGTGGACGCCTGCATGATTTACAACCAGGACCATTGATTGGTTTCAAATGTCAAGACTGATCAGCAATATTGGTAAGTTACTTTGTCCTCTGAGTCTCAGTTACGGGCTATTGCCCCGACATTGTGCTGGGGGAATAGGCTATATGTAGTGATTAATGCTAAGTGCATTTATCCCTAATGTATATCAGAAAGTCATGCTTTCTTAGTTATTCAGTATTTCTTTCAGATTATTTTTGAACTGGTTTGTTGTAAATTGATTTATTAATACATTATTTTCTGTAAGAGATGATTCGTAGTAACTTCACACTATAGTGAGAGTAAATGCAATTAGAGGTTAGCAGCATTCTCATAATTATTATCATAAGAGTCTAAGATCAATGAGAAATACCAGTGTCTTCTGCTGCTGATTCCGATCTGGAGCTTGTACACCCAAGATCTTTTATGAGCAATGTGTCATGTAATATACCACAGATTCGACTTGAAGGATGAGCCATTTTAGTGACACAAATGGCCTAAAATCTACCTTGCATGTCAGTAACCATTTACCACAGTTTTAGGATGTTAAATTAAAATCAAGATATAAGCAATCATCTTGCATGGTACAAAAGGATACATTTCATTTGAAGTATATGAAATTTGTTTTTGTAATTTTGTGAATGTTATTAAACTGAACCCACACTCCACAGATATCAAAATATCCTCTTACTAGTTGAAATCTCCCTCTTTGTTTATTGTAGCTATGGTTATGGAATTGGCATTATATTACTGTTCACAGCAGTGGTTATAATTTATTTAGTATTCAGGGGAAGTGCAGGCCACAATGTTTATGCTTTCTAGATCATTGAATGCAACGCAGATGGTTATACAAGTATAGAAGGATCTGTTTTTTCCTAATACAAGCACTGGGGTTGTTATCATCATTGTTGGGCTTCTTTCTTCCATAAGCCTCTTACTTAATATGCAGACTTTCACCTTTTTCATTGAATGTCAAGCATGAAAGTCCCTCGGAGCTCTTAAATCTGTATATTTAATTCTTGTTCTAATCTGTGACATTAACTTGTAATTTTGTCAGCCTTTATCCAACACGAATACATTTTATCTGTCCTTAGGCGGGATATTGTTACTTACTTTCTTGATCTGTCTGTAGCTGCCAAAGCTGAAATTTTCGGATGCCTGTGCTGGTTGGAGTAGGCTTGGTGCTGAGATTTCACAGTTTTTGTTGCCTGTCAGTGCACAATTTCAGAATGGCTGTCGTGTTTAAAGTGAAATATAATCTGTAAGCATGAAGGAGACATTCCCCCTTTCTGATTGCTTTAGTTGGATTTTTACATATTTTTCTTAGATATGGGTGTTCTGATATCTTCTGCTCTTGTTGAAGGGCTTCATAGTCGAATTTTATTTCATTCAAGATCTGATCAGTATAGTTTATTACTCATTCAGCCTGGACGGTGTAGGTCGAGGAACCTATACCTAACCTGTACT